CTAGAAACAAAATGAAAGACCTTAAAAGTGTGGTTTTGAACTCTGCATCCTCCATTTCTGTCATGTTTCTTTGTCTCCGCATTTTTTATACTTTCTTGGTGCACCCCCTAGTGGTCTTTGTGCGCAGTCTTGTTGTAGTTAAGCCTTGATTGTTGTAGTTGATACTGGGGGGATTTGACCTCCAGGCCAACTGGCTGTGAGAGTCAGCTGTGTCTGCAGTGGGAAAACTTCTGTCCTCTGGGGAGGTGCTAATCTAGCCTTTCTCTGAGGCTATCGGGCAAATGGCTCTGTGCAGGGCTTGGGCAGGGCGGGTCTCACGGGATCAAACAGGGAGGGTGGAGGGAGCAGTTATGGCTGCTCTCAGTCCGGTCCCCAGAGGCTCTGCCTCTCAGAGTCCCAGCAACCACTGCAAACCTCGGAGAGAAACCTGCCCTCGCGTTCCGACCGATGCCAGACAGTCCCGCTTCTCCCGTTTGAGTCTGGGTCCCTAGAGACTCGCCCAGAACTGGAGCTCAGAGCCTGAGCCCCCCTCCCGATTGAAAACGACAACCGCGCCCTCAGCCACCAGCCCGCCGCGCGTACCTCCGCACCTTTGTATTTTCCGCACTGCGCCTCCTCTGAGCCCCAGTATGCTGTTCTCTTTGCTTCTAGTTGAAGAATTTCCCCTCAGCCAGCTTTCCTGTGGTTCTGGGTGATGTCCCTTCTGTCTTTTAGTTATATTTTTGAAGTGGTTGTTCGAGGCAGCAAACTCCGGTGTTTACTTATGCCGCCATCTTGGTTCTCCCCTGTGGTAGAAACTTGCTGGATCACAGCTCCTAGTTGTAATGCTCCAAATACAGCCTGGTTTCACAATAGGAAGTGTGTTGCGCCAGCTGCAGTCCGTTGGGGGAATTGGTTCTCTCACCTCCCAGGTTCTGGCTGATCTTTGAAAGACTAAGCAAGGCCAAAGCAGAATGACATGGTCAAGAAAGAATTCCTCAGAATGCAGAGACCATTAGCCTCTAAGAGGGCCCTGGAGAAGAAGGAAAAAACGAACATCCGCTGCTCAAAGAAGCCTTGTTCTCCATGACCTCGCAAGCAGCAGAGGGCGATGCTGCAGATAGTTCATTGTGATACATTCTTACCCCAGCTCAGGCCTGCCTGTGCAGGGTGGCCCTGTGGGCCATGGCATTTCAAGGCTCTGGTGGATTATGGAATATTTATAGGGCTCATTAATTTTGTCTCACCTATTACAGATCCAGGGTCACTTGTGTTGCAGATAAGTATCTCTGGTCTAAAGGAACTTATTTTTTTTTTTTAAATATATTTTATTGATTTTTTACAGAGAGGAAGTGAGAGATATAGAAAGATAGAAACATCGATGAGAGAGAAACATTGATCAGCTGCCTCCTACACATCTCCTACTGGGGATGTGCCCGCAACCCAGGTACATGCCCTTGACCGGAATCGAACCTGGGACCTTTCAGTCCGCAAGCCGACGCTCTCTCCATTGAGCCAAACCGGTTTCGGCATAAAGGAACTTATTGTTGGGATTAAGTTTAAGGTAGTCTAATCAGTAAACTGAATCCTGTACCCTGAAATGCATGACATAGACGTCTCTCTTCACCATAAGTCTTCCACTAATCCTATCATCACCATCTCCACTCTCACAGGCAGCTCATGGCACTGTGGGTGTGTGCTCACGCTCTCTCCTCCCTCTCATTAACTGTGGATCCGGAAGGCTTGGAAAGGGAAGAGGCATATCAGCCACCCCTCAAACTAACCCAAATCTCCATTGTGTTTAGCACTAAACTGCTTATTATTTCGTACCCACAGTGTCATGACGGGAGAATAATTGATACAATGGATAAGCACCACATCTTAGTGGAGGAGGGATTCTGGTTTACTCTTATAGGTAGAATTGTTTTCTGGGCTTCTGTGCCCAGTATTTTGTGCAAGAGATAGATGAAAAAGGTAAATACATGATGACATTCCTGAAAACATGTATGGGGAATAAAATGTGAATTTTAGGGAAATGTCATCCTTAACATGGATTAATTGATAATAGATACATCATGAATCTAATATTTCACTGAATTTTTTATAAGGCCATGAAACTAAAAGTTTGCTTTTGTGATTATATCAAACAGTTGTTTTCTGTGTAATTGTTGTGTTGTGTTTGTTTTTTAGCTCAAAGCATTCAGTAAACCAGGGTTCCAAGGTGAATGTGTAGATTTTACCAAAGAAATTTCTGATTTGACTTCATTCACTCCATGTTCTTTCAAAGTTCTTCGGGGCTGGTAAGTATCCTTATTGAGTGTTTTTTACTGTTGTTTAACAACTAAATTTCTTTAAAATTTACAGATATTTGACCTGTATTGTTTTTGCATACACAGTGAAATAAGAATGTTTTTATTCATTGATGGACTGCTAAGTAGCCTATGTTAACTTTTTCCAACTCCTGTTATGAGCCATCGTGTAACAGAGAAACAGGATGCCAGTTAGCCTGCTTCGGGAACATTTGGGTGATTTTTTCTTACAGTTACATTATTTTCTAAATATTTTGAGTGTTTTATATTGTATGTTTATTGTGTAGCATAATAGAGTGCTATAAAAAGATTAGTGCTTTTGTTCAGATAAGACTCCTAAATTAAAGAAAAAATTTTTTTGTTTGGAGTATTTATCATCCCCATTTCATAGACGCAGGTCCTGGTTCAGAGTTAGTGTTTCCCCAAGATCAACCGAATGTCAGGCCCAGTGTGGCCTGGTCGGTTTTTATTAAGTCCTATGTTCTCCCAACTGCAGCAACATCCTGGATCTTTCTCACATGTATCTGAAATCTGAAGTTGTGTATAATTCTCAAGTTATATAATCCTTAGCATGGGTAAATTGATAATAGATACATCATGAGTATAATATTTCACTGTAGTGTGTGTGTGTGTGTGTGTGTGTGTGTCTGTGTGTTGACTTTTTATTGTGGTAAAATATACATAACATGAAACTTACCATTTTAATTTTAAGTGTAGATTTGAGTAGCATCTTTATGTATCAAATATCTACCTAATAACTCATCAAAGTCATTTTATTCGTTCTTTAAGATAACCTTGGATTCATCGATTCTCCTCTCTCTCCTGAACCAGTAGAGACTAGGATCTCTTGTTTTCCATTTGAGGAACTTCAGTCTCCTAATCAACCCGCTCCAGTGTTGTATTACTTCCATTGGTTACCACAAACCAATCATAGCCCATTTATTTGCCCCAAAGTTCAGTTTAATATGTTTACTACTCTGCTGTAAATTCCATAGCCACTTTCTAATATCAGTCAGATGTTCAAAGTCTTCCAGGATTTACCATCAACTCATCTCATTTTCTCTATCCATCCTCCAGTCTGCCTTTACACTGCCCGCATCCTCTCCTCTCCCAACATTTACTCAGCTTACCCGCCACACCAGGGGTCAGCAAACTTTTTCATCTGTGAGCCCTACAGGCTGCTCCCCAGATACTCCACAGCTACTGTAGCGCAACAGCACTGTGGACAATACATAAACGGGTGGGCATGACTGGGTTCCAGTGAGACTGTTTATGGCCATTAAAATTTGAATTGTATATAATATTCACATGTCACGAAATACCCTTCTTTTAATCTCTTTAAACATGCAAAACCAGTTCATTAAAAAAAAAAAATACAAGAACCATGGCAATTGCTTCATTACCTGGAATGCTTCAAGGAGCTGGATTTGAGCCACTCCCATCACTTACACCTCTGTAACCTTAAACATACTGGGTTATCTCTCTGAACCTCAGTTTCCTTAGCTGTAAAGGAGGAATAATAATAATACCTACCTCAAAGGATTCTTACAAGGACTGAATAAATGATATATATGGAAGGCTTACTTCATGCCTGACACATGGAAACCCTTTGACAAATGTTGGCTATATATTGCTAATTACATAGAAGATATGACAGTAAGTTACGATGTCACAGAGCATTTCTGTGGTTTTCCAAAGTTAACCTGGTCCAGCCAAACTACAGTTCTGGTGATCTTAAAATGTAGGGTTGCAACTTAAACACATCAAAACTGAAGTAGTAACAGCCAATTCATTAATCCCTTAGCTCCGTCCTTTCAAAAGGGCATTTCTTAATCAAGCTTTGATGATTGCTGAAGTCAAGTCCCTCAAGCCCATTGACTGTGACGATAATTCAATATCCAAGATTCTGAAGGGTTTATTTCTTTTTTATCATCTTAATTAGCTGTCAGGTGTGCAGGTAACAGACTTTATATACTGTTGTGTAATTTTAGGAGTCTAGCTTATAGCCCACCCAGACTGAAGGACACACTCATTGTTAAATAAGGATACAAATTTTTATTTTCCCCAAAAAAACTTCTAATGTGTTCAAGAGCTTAATAATCACTACAGTTTGATCCCAGAGGTTTGCACTTGCAAGCACTAAATGAAGTTAATGTCATTAGCTTAAAGCAGATATTGTCTTTCAAATTTCAGCTCTATCATTTGATAAGATGGGGAGACCTTGGGCAAATTGAACTTCGTTGTGTTGCCTTTAACAATATGGTTTTATGCTCTGGCCAGTGTGATTTGGTTGGTTGGAGTGTCATCCCTATACCAAAAGGTGGCAGGTTCGATTCCCGGTCAGGGCACATACCTAGGTTGCAGGTTCAATCCCAGGTGTCTGTCTGTCTCTCTCTCTCTCCTTCCCTCCCTCCCTCCCTCTCTTCCTCCCTCCCTCCCTCAAATCCCATTGTTAGGAAGAACATAAGCAGCAATGCAGCCAGCAATAAATTTGACAGAATATTAATGCCCCAGAGAGAGGATGTTAGTTTGAAATGGGCAAGACCATTTTACTAAAACTTGCTTGGAATAGATCTCAGCTTCCCAGTGAGGTGAGGGAGAATTACAGCCATTTGAAATTTACAGCCACGCAGTTTTCTGTTTTAGAACCCTCTAAACTGTTTGAATAATGAAGGTTTTCCCCCAGAGACAGCCCTGATTCATCACAAAAGTCTGATCTCATAAACAACAGAACTTATTGAAGTGTGGTAGCGACACAAGCCATATAAAAGCTGAGGAAATTCGATCTAAAAATCAATCACCTGGCGCTGGCCAGTGTGGCTCAGCTAGGAATGACTTGTCACCATGACACACACTGACCACCAGGGGGCAGATGCTCGCTGCAGGAACTGCCCCCTGGTGGTTAGTGCGCTCCCACAGGGGGTGCTCTACTTAGCCACAAGCCAGACTGACGGCTGCCAGTACAGCAGTGGTGGTGGTGGGAGCCTCTCCCGCCTCCTCAGCAGCACTAAGGATGTCAGACTGCAGCTTAGGCCTGCTCCCTGCTGGCAAGTGGACATCCCCCGAGGGCTCCTGGGCTGCCAGATGGATGTCTGACTGCCAGCTTAAGCCCATTCGCCCAGGGAGCGAGCCTAAGCCAGCAGGTGCTCATCCCCCGAGGGGTCCCCGTGCACAAAATTCATGCACTCAGGGGGATGGGGGGCATCCCTCAGCCCACCCTGTGCCCTCTCGTAGTCCAGGAGCCCTCCGGGAATGTCCAACTGACGGTTTAGGCCTGTGGGAAGTGGGCCTACACCGTCAGTCGGACATCCTTAGCGCTGCCGCACAGGTGGGAGAGGCTCCCGCCACCGCCACTGCACTCATCAGCCATGAGCCTGTCTTGTGGCTGAGCCGTACTCCCCCTGTGGGAGCGCACTGACCACCAAGGGGGCAGCTCCTGCATTGAGCATCTGCCCCCTGCATTGAGCATCTGCCCCCTGGTGGTCAGTGTGTGTCATAGTGACTGGTCTATTTGCATATTAGCCTTTTATTATATAGTGTGTGTGTGTGTATGTGTGTGTGTATATATATATGGTACTAGCCTATGTCTAGCACATGGTAAGCAATAAATGATAGTGGTAGCTGTGTTTTTTAAAGTGGTGATGGGCATTTGCTGCTGGTCAGCACCATGACTTCAATGCCATGTCCCTGCCCCAATGGACATACACAGTGCAATGATGAGCCGACACTGGAGGCTGGTGCAGTCTGATGGACTGTCTCACGGCTTGTGTTTGCAGCTGGCTCCTGTATTACCAAGAGGACATATCTGATAACCAGTGTGTGTTAGAAGAAGGCCTCTATACTGACCTTACTTCTTGTGGCTGCCCGACATCTGAAGTCAAGTCCCTCAAGCCCATTGACTATGTAAGTACTTTGCTGAATGCATAATTATAAGACCTTTTCTTGTTTAGTTTAATTACCATGAATGAGAATAAGAAAAAACAATAGATGGGCAAATATAGAAAGTTGAATAATTTAATTGTGGATTATAAAAATCAAAATTCACTCATGAAATCCAACCAAAATGTAACATTGACATGTTCCTTTTCTTTTCTTTTTCTTTTTTTGTGAACAGGAATGTTAAACTCAGGGACTAGAGTAACATGGGCTTAGGTTTAAATCCCAGTTTGACACTTTAACCAGTTTGGTTGACATTGACAAAGTTATTTAGTTTTCGCACCTGTAAAAGGCAATAACTTTATAAGGACACTGGGATATTAAATAAGGTGGTGCTTGTAAAAAACCCAGCGTGTGGTGAGCACTTGATAAATGTTAGCTATTGGTATCATGGTTTTAATTGTTATAGCTACTGAAAAAAATAATTGATCTTTTTATTATTACATAAATCACATCATTTTTCTGCTATTCTGGCTTACAATATTACTGTAGGGCATGACCCATTACTGGTATTGATTTCAAACCTTGTTTTGGAGAAAATAGGGCTTTCCTGTGTGGTGCAGAATTATCTAGGTCACCTTGGAGGCCCACATTTATGGAGCAAGTGTTTCTGCCTCCTATCATATTTACTCAGAATTTTAAACATGAGAAAAACAGGACCACAACTGGGATGTCAGTTCTGGCCTCCTAGTTAGTAGGGTCTACACAAAGGAAATGGGAGGATCTGGGATATCTTCACAGTGTCTAGTCATGGTGATTCCCTGGGAGCATTTGGTCCAAGAGAGATTAACAGGGAGATGACTCAAAGCCTTGCGCAGCACCAGGAGCCATCAGACCTTCAGCCGGAACTGGCTTCAGACCTTCAGCCGGAGTGGCCATGCTCAGGGTCTGGTCCCAGGCTAAGCAGTATAGTCTTATTTCACAAGGCATTACTGGATAGAGTATTCCTGGGATCAGGCTAAGAATAGAGGCTTGGCTGCAAACCAACAATAGAAATAGAATCCTTGGTCTCTCTCAGTGGCCCCTTAGACACCAACTTGGAAAGATTAAGTGGCTACTGATGCTTCCTGTCTGCAGGAGGAAGACTGGTAGAAAAAAAGAATGTGGGCTGTTAACTCTTTCCTATTATTGAAAAGGAGTTGCAAAGTAGTCCGCACGTCCTGGAAAAGGAATTTTCTTAGTAATTTTTAGTGGTCAAACCATCAGATAGGTACTTATTGGGTATTAACTCTAAAAGCAAAGTATGTAGGTCTAATAAGAGAGTACCATCCTGAAAGGATTTTGTAGGGCTAATTCAGTGAGCTAAGCCAACTAATTTCTAAGGAGGGCATTTTAGAAACAGTCAAAATTAATGAGTATTACTGTTTTTCTTTGAACAGTTAGAGTTATTTTACATCCCTGAAGAAAAATGAATAATTTAAGTTAGTAGTGAAAATAGAGAACTGTTTTTTTATGTAAGTTGTGCGGTTGCAAGTCCCCGTTTTGGCTCAGGGGGATCCGAGCAGGGTAGGCGAAGGTGCCTCCTGGGAAGGATTTGAGAGCTATAGCCTCTTCACTCCAAGAGCTGATGAAAGAGTATACTCAGTTTATATAAGGACAGCACATTCATTTTCTTAATGCCTTTGCATGGCATGTTTTAAATCTTTGAAAAGTTTTGTTGAAATGTGCTTAGGCAGTAGTTCTGGTGTGGAAAATGGAAGTAATATGAGGTGGGTTTGGCATCCCAGCAAAGACCCACAGAGGAACTAGGAGGAGGCCTCAGCAGGTAGCGTTTCCTTGATGGGGTCAACCATGCCTCACCCTGGAGGCCCGGGCCCAAGTTGATCAGACCTGGAGACTGGTGTGTAAACCACTTCAAGGTCAGCTGGTAATTTGTATCAGGTGGATTCCAATGATGGGAATGCTTAAGAATTTTGTCTGGAGCATTTTGCTGTCTCTCTGAAGAACACAGAACTGAATTAGTCATCAGAAGGTTCTTTATTGAGCATAGATTGAGCAATGAGATAGATGTCTTGAGATGCGCTTACCTGGAATAGCTCTCTCCACAAGAGACTTCTCCCACACCCCGGGGTCCTGCTCACTTTCTCTAGATTCTGCGCTACCTTTCCCTGGAAAACACACAGAATACTCAGCCTAACCTGCCCTCTGATTCCTTCCGCATCCCCTCTCCTCCTACCATGTTCTCCCTTAGGGGTTGGCATACCTTTTCCTCTTTATTTGTTAATACCACTTCCTATGCCACAGTCTACTGTGATTGTAGATTCATTCTAGGAAATATGTCTGTCCAATTGAGTTGACTTTACATATATATGAACTGATCCTTTGATTTTGCTTTTATTAAAATAGAATTCTGAGGGTGTTGCCTGTGTATAGCTGGCATTCCCCGACATGCTGTTACTTAATGTAAGTGTCGTAATGGTATAGTGGCGAGGAGTCTGAAGATTTAATCTTTAAACAAGATCAGTGTGTTGGCAGCAACACTGCTCCAGGCTGATTGCTAGTCGCGCAGACATGCGAGATTCCGAGGTCCATGGGTGCGTCATTTTACAGTGAAGAAAGCTGGGAGCATAGTTTATTATTGTGCTTCTCACTAAGGTAACCTTGGGCAAATCACTTATTTTGGACTCGGTTAGCTCGTAAATAAACCATTAGAACAGGTATTTTCAAACCTCTGGCAGCCTTCAGCTTTGTTGCAAATATGTGTTTTGGGAATATTGCTAATTGGAAATGAAAAAGAATATATCCAGCTTCAGAACTCATGTGGTCTGAGGGAATAAGATGGTGTGTTAGCTTTCAATAGGATTATACTATTTTATATAACAGTCCCCAAAACAGTGGGTTAGGAGCTGGAGGTGGGTAGAAAACCTAAATAAAAATTTTTTCACCTGGTAGTGTTGGGGTAATCTTTTTTGTCATGTTTCTGTGGGAGCAACCAACCACCGTTGCTTCTGTCGTGTGTCCTCGTGGCTGGGCATGGAAATCGGCCTCCTTTGAAGTAATAATCCAATCCTGGCAGCTATGAGCAGGCACAGCCAAAGGAACATCATCAGAGGCTGTAGAAAAACTTCAAATGAAATTACAACAGTGATGACATAAATGATCTTAAGAAGTGAAATGGGAATTGGCAGTCATTCTCTGCACTGCACAAGGTGCGCAGCTTTGAATAGAAGACTAAGTCCAGCCACAGAATAAAAAGGAAGCAGTGATTTATAAAGTCTGGAGGAGTTTGGTTACTATTGACTTTTCAGCCGAGCCCACATATATTTAATAGTATTAACTATTGTGTCCATTTTGAAAAGGAAAGCCAACAGAAATCTGCAGTAAACATCAGCTTCCAAATGAGACATTTGAAGCATTAGCCTTTAAATTCGGGCAAAAGATAAAGATCTGTACTCTCACCACTTCTAGTCAACATTATTCTGGAGTCCTAGCCACAGTAATAAGATTTAAACTACAAAAAAAGTAGAAAGGAAGAAACAAAATTGTGTAGAGTAGCTACTACAGATAATTTATTAGGGTTAATATGAATTTTTTTTAAGTTGCAGAATACAAGATAAATAGCTGTTCAACCATAGGGTATTCAATATGGGGAACATTATAAAAGCTTTATTGAAGGACATAAAAGATGGAGGGATATAAATTTTTATAGATGAAAAAACCCAATATTGTAAAGTGGTCTTCCCCCAAATGAATACAGTTTCAGGCAAAATGCTTACAGAAACTTTTGTCCTTTTTTTCTTTCTTTTTAATCCTCACCTGAGGATATTTTTCCCATTGGTTTGTTTGTGTGTGTGTGTGTGTGTGTGTGTGTGTGTGTGTGTGTGTGTTTTCATAGCCTACTAGGTGTGAGGTGGTATCTCATTGTGGTTTTGATTTGTATTTCCTTAATGACTAATGATGTTGAGCATCGTTTTGGTTTGGGGGATAACTGCAAAA